TCTTCTTCAGGTATTCAAATCTTGCATGAACATCCCCGGTCTTATCTAACTCCTCACTCTCCTCCTCTAGTTCAGCCCGCAGATAGTCTACCATCATCTCAAGTGCTTCGTCTTTGGTAATCCTCCTATGATTTATGAATCTTACCTTCATCGAATGTAGCAAACACAAGACATCGTCAAATATGATAAACATATCACCACGCGGAAGATGAAATGACGAGGTCTCTGAGCGCCATCTCTCCATGAGTTCATTAAGCACTCTGTGGTTGACTGTAGTATGACCGGTCATGCACAGGTCCTTCAGGCCAGATAAGATAAAACTTCCTAAAACCAATCATTATTCGGCTGAGGCAAGCCAACAATCTTCTTCCCATGGTTAATAAAATTTTGTGAATCACACTCCTGAAAAAAATAATAATCAATGTCAGAAATTTGTCGATTAATATTAACGTAAAAAAGATAATGAATCCAACTAATGCTACCTATCCATCCCAGATACCTCTGGCAGTATGGTCTGGGTACATAAACAATAATGACAAATCAACAAGCCTTCTCCAAATGCCTCTGGCTCAACATCTGCAGTAACCTCTCCCTTTAGGGGCGGCACTAGATCAACATCATCAACAGTAGGAGGTGACACTAGAATAGTAGTATCTACAGTAGAAGGTGACACTAGTGAATCGGGTACCTCAGGCGTCCAAATAGGGGAAACCTGTCTCCTGCGAGAGGATGAAGAGAGTGTGCGATAGATGATGAATCCTGTCCCTACGGGAAGAAGAAGATGGAGTGGCATGAATGAGCCCCAGAAGTAGATGAGCTCCGGAACCTGCTGACTCTTTTCCCACCACACTGATGCATGCTGAACAACTCTCCCGTGGCCCAGTTTATCATGTCAATCAGCCGTTTGTTAGCTCACAAATTCGACGCCACATATATATAGATTAAAATATTTAAATAAAATATTAAAGTCTTTTTGAGAGGTAAAGAGGTTTTTGAAGCCTTGGGACCTTCGATTGGGAAGTCAAATATTGTGGGACTTAGAGAAAATTCTGAGTCTTAAAAGAAGCAGCCTTCGACCGAGATGTTGGCTGGAGATTAGTGAAGTTTTTGAAATTTAAATAATGGAGGGAGTAGTTATGCTTTCCTATGACTAAGAGGGACACGTGGCGTTCGTTTGACAAATGACTTCATGCATTGTGACACTTGTCGGAAGCTGATTGCCTTAGGGGGTTATTAGTAGTTATTTTTACTATTATAAATAGAAGTCTTATACATAGAATTCAGTGTGCTGTAATTTACTATTTGTATAAGTCACTCCTAAATTTACTCAAAGTATCCGAGTGTAGAGAAAAGAGTTCAAGGAGAATGTACGTTATGTAAACACACCATCTTTACTTTCAATGAAGTTTAATTTACTTGCTTAACTTTACAATGTTTTCCTTTATTTTTCTACAATATACCCCCTTCTACGCACTTTACTTTATCTTCGTCCTAAATTTCTTCCTAAGATCTCTATCTCTTTCCTTCTAAATTTCTATCTTCTCTTTCGCTTCAGTCGAACAAACACCTTTATGATTAAATCCTTTTTCTAAACACTGTCGAAGTGTGTAACTTAGATAGATTTCAAAACATAAACCTTTAGCACATATCCTAGGATCAATCTGATCGATCCTGTGAGTCACCAAAGTTAGATTTGAAAGATCAGCGGTTGTTTTCCATTTTTTAAGAGAAATAAAATGGCACGCCCAGTGGGACAGTGCTAAAAGATTTTTTTTATTTTATATATAGTTTTGCAAAATTCTCAAAACTGCAGTTTTATTTGTCTTTCGTAAAAGATTTGTTATATGTTACTAAGAAGTGGAAAAATCGCCGCTATAAACGAAGAAAGACCAAGAAGAGACTATACTAGGGACATGGCGACAGATACAAATCATCCAAACAACCATAATCCTCGAGGAGATGGTTCTAACTCTCAACCTAACACCATTAGTCCTCACGAAGGATTGAGGAATGACGTGGTTCCACCCTCAATACCTTTGACCGGAGAGCAAATAGTACCTCCTGCAAGACTGGAACCCGTACCATCAATTTTGGGGCCTGGATCAACGAGCATAAGGACTTACACCCAACCGGTGTTGGAATATATTGGACCTCAAGCATCGAATCCCAGACTCTGCCAAGAGGAAATTCGACGTCTAGACAGTTTGTCCCTCCAGGGTTTTCACAACTATTACCAAGAAACCCTCCATATGAAATGCCAACAACTGTGATGCAGGGTCTCCAAAATGCTCCCTTAATATTTTTAGACAATGCAATGGCTTCGCCATTACAAGGATCAGGGTCTGAGGTGAACATTGGTTGAAACCCCCAAAGTTTAGGTTTGGGATATTCCACACAGCGCCCTAATCTAACCAATACTTCGGTTGCGTGTTTGAGACAGCAAATGGATGAAAGTAACTTGCAAATGGTTCAAACCTTGTCTTAAATCATGGGTGAAATCTTTCAACCTTTAATCCAAAATACTACCCAAACCAACCAACAGTTAGCAGTACAAATAACACGGCTGACTGAATTTATGGGTGTACCACCTATTGTTAGGAACACGACTACTGTGGAAAACATTCCACGACGAGACTTAGGAAACCTACCTGAGCCCAACTTAGAGAATCAAGAGAGGGTCGAACTCTCCAGGATCGAACCTCACAGAGTCGAACCACCAAGGGATCAAATACCAATCCCAAGAGAAAGGGACCCATGGGTAATCATAGTAAATCGAAACCAAGATGCAGACAATGTTGTCCAACAAGTTCGATGTAATAACGTAGCTGTCGATAACAACTTAATAGCCATGGTCGAAAAGATAATGGCTCGAAATTGGGTAAACACTGGGTTCACTAGGCCAAATTACACTATCCTCCAAGCAGAATTACCTCCTAGGACGAAAGTGCCTAAATTCACTAAGTTCTCAGGGGATACGACGGAATCTACTGTCAAACATGTGACTCGTTATATAATCGAAGCCAGAGAGATAGCTAATGATGAGAGCCTTAGGATAAAATACTTCCTTAGTTCTCTCACTAAAAATGCCTTTACCTGGTTTACGATCTACCCCCTTTTACGCACTTTATTTTATCTTCGTCCTAAATTTCTTCCTAAGATCTCTATCTCTTTCCTTCTAAATTTCTATCTTCTCTTTTGCTTCAGTCGAACAAACACCTTTATGATTAAAGCCTTTTTCTAAACACTGTCGAAGTGTGTAACTTAGATAGATTTCAAAACATAAACCTTTAGCACATGTCCTAGGATCAATCTGATTGATCCTGTGAGTCATCAAAGTTAGATTTGAAAGATCAGCGGTTGTTTTCCATTTTTTAAGGAAAACACCGTTATGCCTGTAATTTAATGTAAAGTGGACAATTAGTGCAGGAAAACAACACCACAAGCAAGAAAGTAAAAAAATATACTGAGAAATTTCTGGAGATACATTTCCGGAATCTGAAAAACTAAAACGCTGGAAAATTTCAGAGATGCATTTCTGGAATTTTATGCAACTCAGAAGCTGCGTTAATAGTGTCAATGTACCCCATGCAATAAAAAAAAAAGAAGAGTTTTGATCATCTTTTTCAACCAACAAAGGTCTAATACACTATGTCTAATCTATCTTAAATGCTATTTATACTCATTTCTAACATTAATCATCGATTTCTATTCATTTAAACAAAAATTCAAAAATTATCAAAAACTCAAAAAACTTACAAAAGATTGATGTTTCTGATGTTACAGACGTTGATTAAAGTTCCCTTGATGCTTATTGATTGAGTTTTGACTTGGTGTAGAGAAAATATTTGAGAGAGTTTGAAATTGAGTTTGAGTAAAATGAGAAATGAGAAAAAAAAAGGGTCTGACGCGATTTAACCTACAAAATATTCTAGAGAGATATCTCCATAATATTTCAACGTCAACTGAACTTTTGGTGCGTTCGGAGATGAATCCTCAAAATCTTAAACCACTTATATATTTTCCCACGGTGGCTAAGAAATTTATGAAATACATTAAAAAAAATCATATTAAAGGCCTAAAGACCCAACTAAGAAATAAAGGCCCAACAAATAAATTCCATGATCAATGACATTTTGAGAAACTAGTATTTATAAACTCTTTAAATAAAATAGTTAAATTGTGCCTATTTATTAATAATATTGAACATAATACAACATTAATTCTAATAAAATTTTTAATATATTCATTTCGTTATTGATAAAGTGGTCAAGACATATTCCATTAAACATTTGTAAAGAGAGAATGAAATATATTAAGCCGAATTCGAATTTAAAGTTTATATAAAATTATCCAAAAAAGTTTAAGTTTGTATAAAATATACGTTATTTTTTTGTTAGGGTTGGTCTGAGCCACCGTGAAGAAATTTATACTAGTACTAGTCTAGAAGTTAGAAAAGTATTTTGTCGACATTCCGAGAGAATTATTTGACTCATTTTTGGTTAACTTGTCGTGTGGGTTTGGTTATTGACCCATCCAGAAACAACAAGGGAGTTGCTTCTTCCATCGTGCCTCTTTTGTTCTCACTAAACCAACACTAACAAAAATGCACTTCAAAAAATGCTCCACTAAACTAAACCACCTTAATAATTAATGTTTTTCTTTTTCATCTAAATTAAGTGGCGTTTATCATTTTATACAAATTATTACATTCATCATAACAAAACTTGACTTAATGAGAGTATTAATCTAAGTTATCTTTAAAGTATATAAATTTAGTTAGATGTAAGATTTATAATATTTCTAAGAATCTTTTATAGAAGTCAAACTGCATAGAAAGTGACAGGTATGAAAATAAACTAAAAATATATCACATATATAAATTTTATTACCATTAAAAAAATTGATTTCAACTCTCTCACAATAATATTTCTATTTTTCATTGCATGTATCATCATCATTCCTAACCCATTTGCATATTCAAGACACAGAAATTCTTCTCAATGAAAGTGGAAGCAACCAAATTCATATCATCATTTCTATTCTTATTACTAGCCTCTAAATTCTTCACTGTAGAATCAAAATGTAGACAAACTTGTGACATGGCTTTAGCTTCTTATTATCTATGGTTTGGTTCAAATCTCACATACGTTTCAAAAATCATGCAATCCAACCTTGTCACAAAACCTGAAGATATTGTCAGCTACAACACAGACACAATCAAGAACAAAGATATGGTTCTATCTGATACAAGAGTGAATGTTCCCTTCCCTTGTGATTGCATCCATGATGAATTTCTTGGTCACACATTTCAGTACCATGTTGGAACAGGTGATACTTATTCGTCTGTTGCTAATATGAATTACTCCAATTTGACAACTCCTGAGTGGTTGCATAGCTTCAATACCTATCCATCAGATAATATTCCTAATACCGGAACTCTTAATGTTACTGTTAATTGTTCTTGTGGGAATAGTGATGTTTCCAAGGATTATGGTTTGTTTATTACTTATCCTCTTAGAATTGAGGATTCTTTGGAATTGATTTCGAGTAAGACTAAAGTTGATGCTGAGTTGTTGCAGAAGTATAACCCTGGTGTGAATTTTAGTCAAGGGAGTGGTTTGGTTTATATTCCTGGGAAAGGTACGTTCTTATTTTGCTGCTATATGTGTTTTGATCTTTTGGTATCAGGTCGTGATGTATTGTTACAAAATTGGTCTTTTGGTTCGACACGTAAGTGTCGCAGTTTGTGTTAGAAAAATCAGACAAGTGTCGTTAAATAAATTCGTTAAATAAATTGGTGTCGACATCAGTATGACACTCATTCAACATGTGTCAGAGAATTGTGACAAGTGTTTTGAAAAAAATTGTTTTGTCTTTGCTTGAGCACACCTTATGCGTTTTAGAGTTTGTCTAATTTTGTAGCATCATGCTTCTGCTTATATTTGTGTATTCTTTCTTCAACTTCTTTACATGAATATAATTTTGAAAAATCATCTCACATTTTATTTTCTCTTCAATTTCCAGACACAAATGGTAACTATGTGCCTCTTCAAACAAGGTAACTTTTTTTTCTTCTTTCTCACATGAAGTTAAATAGTTCTTCATACTCTTATAGCATTCTAATCTCGATGGCCTTATTTTCGTTTTTCGTATACAGCACTGAAGGTTAGTTTCAAGTTTCTTGATGATCGATATACTCAAATTTGACATTCATATCAGATGTCTCAAGGTAAAATGTCCTTAAAGTAGAATGTTAATCTTCTTCCATCTCATATTATACATTTTTTCGACATAATCAGGTCTATCAGGTGGAATTATCATTGGAATATCTCTTGGAGCAGTAGCAGGACTAATACTTTTAGGATTTTGTATTTATATTACATGTTACCGGAAGAAGAACGTACAGAATCAAGAATTTCTCTCAGAAGAAACCAGCGCGATCGTTGAAGTCTCTGGTAATGCTACATATGGAACTTCAGATTCTATGAGTCCTGCTAATATCATTGGCATCAGGATGCCAAAATCAGGGGAGTTTTCATATGAAGAACTAGCTAATGCTACGAGTAACTTCAATTTGGCTAACAAAATCGGTCAAGGAGGTTTCGGTGAAGTCTATTACGCCGTGTTGAACGGTGAGGTTAGTAATCTGTTTTGTTAGTCTTAACTTTTGATTATGTTAGATACGATAATGCTGTAAGGATAAATCTGAAGTTCTATCTAATTACACAGAAAGCTGCAATAAAAAAGATGGACATGAAAGCATCAAAAGAATTTCTTGCCGAGCTTAAGGTGTTGACGCGTGTTCATCACTTGAACTTGGTAATAGCTTATGAAAACAATTTGATTTGATTTGATCTTTTGTTATAGAAATCGTTTATACACAATCACTTATATATATGATTGTCTATTGATGATCATGTATAGGTACGGTTGATTGGGTATTGCGTTGAAGGATCGCTTTTCCTTGTGTACGAGTACATTGAAAATGGAAACTTAAGTCAACATCTTCGCAATTCAGGTCAGATAAGCACGGTGCATTGATTAATGTGATTATAATTAATTGTGATTATATAGATGATTAAGAAAGAATGTTTTCAGATGGAGAACCTTTGTCATGGATGACAAGGGCTAAAATTGCTCTAGATTCAGCAAGAGGTCTTGAGTACATTCACGAGCATACCGTGCCTACTTATATTCATCGTGACATAAAGTCCGAAAATATTCTGTTAGACAAGAACTTCTGTGCTAAGGTACGTTCTGTGTCAATAACTTTCTCGAGCTTTTTAGTGTTTTTCTTTTGAGAGGCCCTTAATTAGTTATATATCAGGTTGCAGATTTTGGATTAACCAAGCTGATTGAAGCGGGAAGTTCATCAGTTCCTACTGCTAATATGGCAGGCACATTTGGTTACATGCCACCAGAGTATGATCAAGAGTTCAAGACTATGTTTACCTCTTTTATGATAATATAAAATTGTAGCTAACTAACAATTCTCGCGTAGTTAGAACATAGGTGATAGTTGAATCAAAATCTGACCGTCAATATTATATACTCGTTATTTTAGAGTAAGAAATCATCAAAATGTGTCTGGTTTCTGCATCGTCTGATCTCGATCCAACGACCATCAACACGTTGACTTCTAGAATACATGAATTTGTGGTTGCAGCAAATCCAAATATGTCTTCGGCACACCAATAAATGGTGAAACTGAAACTACAATTTTCAGCAACACAAATTTATTGACACCATTTTCTTATATTGTAGATACGCATATGGTAGTGTTTCTTCCAAAATAGATGTATATGCTTTTGGAGTTGTTCTTTATGAACTAATTTCTGCTAAAGGAGCTGTGATAATGGGAGGTGAATCTGGTGCTGATTTAAAAGGTCTTGTAGTTTTGGTAATTCTCAACTTCAATATCTAAAATATTTTCAAATGGAAGCCTAGTGTTTTAATTTGAATTATATTGTTTGAACTTTTTTGGTGACATGTGTGACAGTTTGATGAAGTTTATGATCAACCAAATCCTATAGAAGGTTTTAAGAAACTGGTGGATCCTAGGCTAGGGGATAACTATTCATTTGATTCAGTTTTAAAGGTATGAAATATTGCATCATAAAATTTTGAAATTTTTTGGCGATTGTGATTTGAATAAGATTGAGCAATTTGTTACACTTGCAGATGGCACAACTTGCAAAAGCATGCACAGAGAGTGATCCACAACAGCGTCCAAATATGAGCTATGTTGTAGTTGCTCTGACTACATTAACTTCAACAACTGAGGAATGGGATATCACTTCTATATACAAAAATCCAAATCTTGTAAATTTAATGTCAGGAAGATAAATATGATGAGTAAGAATTTATAATACAAATGTTAACAATGATTGCTCAATCCATCCCCAAAAGTAAAAAGCGGCATTTTAATAAGTTTTTAGATGTACTGTTTTTTTATGTTTAGACAAATAGGTAATAATCACTAGAACATGAAACACACAACTTTGAAGTCTTGAGTTCAAAATCAAATGATAGTGTCTGTTCCAGGCTGGCCAAACGGTCTAGCAAGAGCGGCCCAACACCATAGAGCCGATCCAGAACACCCTCATAGAAAATTGGTGGACAGGTGGCTGCAACCTGGTATGAGCCACTTGCTCATCATCAGCCATAGGATCCATTCCAGGGTACTAGAGATAAACACTCCTGCATAGGAGAGCTTTGCATTGTCATGTTATCAATTTTCTATTAGACACCGAAATAGTAACTTAGTCTATGGGAAACAAGTGCTTGATTCTCACAAATTTCCATGTCGAATTCATCAATTCCTTTCCGTTGCCCTGTCACAACAGCTTCAATAATTGATCAGATTGCCAATAATTTCTTCAACCGATAGCGGTAACCTCAAAACTAACTCAAATGGCGTCTCGACTTAACGCCAGTCCTGTGACTGAGATCATCACATCGATTTCATCCCCCGTCACCTTGCCACCTTCCACCGTCTCCTCGATTACTAAAGGATTATCCTGCCTGGTGAAACGGTTCATAAGATCTGCAAAGAGAAGTGCTTGAGATCAAAACATCTATATGACGAACCAATTACATCCATGCTAACCTACCTGGAGCTTGCTCGATAAATGAAACACAATTGAAAGATCCAACTGCAACAAAACCTACCTAAACAGTAAAGATAAAAGTCCTAGTAGAAAAAGGTCTCATCAAGTGTCTCAAAGCTAATGTCGTCCTGTTAGCAATTTTATGAAATGGGTTTTGGGTTTATAAAGTGATGATGACGATCGATGAAGATGAATTGATAATACGAAAGTTTGATAATGATGAAGAAATTTTACTAATGAGGGTTTTGGAATTTCGAAAGTGAAAAGGCTTTGAAAATGAAATGAAAAAAAAAAGTAATTTAAAAAATGTAACTTTTCAATTGTGATTAATCATGTGTAAATATTGATTTGAATTATAGGCTATGCTTTTTTTTAAGAGAAAAACACTTTTATTAGAATCAAGTTTAATATTTTATTTGAATAAAATATAATAATATACAAGATAAAACATCTTTTTGCCTTTTTTTTTTTTTTTTTTTTTTTTTTTTTTTTTTTTTTTCTGTTTTGTCCTTCAAAATTACTTAGAAGTCGTAGAAGTTACACAAATAAAAATGAACTACTCCCCTATTTTATATTTGAATATTGTACACAAGTGAAAGTAATTAGTTATTTGAAAAAAAAACTAATTTTAATTTCTCATTAAAATTATATTTATATACACATACCATAAATTCAAATACCCATAACTTTAATTAAAATCAAAATTATAAAAAATACTATATATATTTTTATGTGTAAGTGTATAAAAAATCAAACAATCCTTAATGGTTTTTAGGTCTCAGAATTTTGATTCGAATCACACATACAAAAAGTTGTGATTCAAATTAAATAGTTCAATTTTGAAAAAAAAAATTTCTTAATGAAAATTTTCAAATTTAAAATATATTTTAATGATGGGAAAATTTTTTAATGCAAATACAAACAAGTTTTAATGTTATGCATGAATGTAAACAATTAATTTTTAATATAAATGTTCAAAATAGATTATTAATGCACAATGCATTTGATGTGAATTCAAAATAATTTTGATGCAAGAGATTAAATGATGTTGCATAAATGTATGTAAAATGCATATATGAAATGCAATAAACGAACGAAATAAAAATGGACTCGATGCATTAAATGATTTGAATGATTAGGGCATGGAATGAGAAAATATATCATAGACACAAATATGTTTCAAAGAAACAACGCATTTGGCCAATTGAATAAATACAATCATGTATACTAAAAAAGAAATAAAAGAGGGTTGGAACGATCTTAGCAATTTGATGATCTAAGCTAAGCTTAACTTGTTGCAAATGAGAACGATAAGTAATCAACAACAAGAATATCTTAAGTTTGAAATACAAACAATCATATACTAATCAGATACAATCTCCTTTAGCACGTCTGAGGAATACTACCAGACTCTCTTTCATAAGACTTCAAATAGACCTTGAACGACGATGATTTTATTGTCACTAATTAACATAACTTGTCAATCCTGAATAACTGATTCAATTCTGTGGCGATCAAATAAAATTTCAAGGAGCATGCTTTGTCCTTGAATCTTTTGTAATTGATGAAACATCAGAGAGAATCATTGCCAAAGGTCATAAAACTTCCTTCATCTTCTTTTGACGATAACCTTGGAAGAGTAGATCACTTAGAATATGCTTTTTATTTCTCTCTTCTTAACTCACAAAAACTCCAGCATATTGTAGTGCGAATGCATGTTCATGTTTGAATAGGATCAATCAAGAGCAAACTTCAAGACATAGTGTCCGGTTTCTAGTTACACTGCACATACCTCAAAATATTGTTAGTTCAATCATGGATGAATCAAAACTTAAAGAATATCTTAAATGCAATTAACGTTTGAAGAATATTCTAGTAGAGTTTTACTTTAAGTTAATTAATCTATGTAATGCATGTAACTAATAATCAGGCATTAGTACATCATTGTAAGT